TCTGTTTTTTGGGGCATATTCAGGAGTTATCTGTGGCCTTAATACTTAGAAGGGTGTGTATTTTGGTAATTTTTATGTTTTCTGATTGCCTCCTGGTAGATATGATCAGGAGATGGGCTTCCCTTTTTACTCTTCTTCCTGAGAAATTTAAAGATGCCACTGTTGGTCAATGTGACATAACTCAGGATTTAATATTTGGCCTATTTCCTCTTTAGTTACCTGTCTTGCTTCACAATCCCTGTTCAGGTCTTTTTCCTAGTTATAAACAGTTCAGACAGAGCTGGCTGTGGCCGTTTTGCACTGTGGTTTGGTTTTAAGTGGAAACTGTGACTTTAAATTTCAAGGAAATCTGTGCACATGCGTAGTAGAACCCTTCAGGGTTGGGGGTGTCCACTTGCTCAGGCACCCCCTCTAGTCACCAGAATGGAGGTGTGCAGACAGCAAGAGACCAATGAGCAGATACCAAAAAAAAAAGAATGTCCACACCTGCATCTCCACGGTTCTGTCAGGTGTTCTTGGCTGTTCTGATCCTTACCCCGCTTGGTCTCTCCCAAGATGGTGGCTCCGGGAGTAGTTGAGCATCTTGAATTAGAAAGCAATGGCTTTCTTGCGTCTGCTACAAATACCTGTAGTTGTAAGCCTTCCAACCTTCTAAATATTCCTTTATATGTGGTTCAGAGTTCTGGGACCATTCCTGAGCCTTCTTGGCTCAGTATTGTGTTGTTGTTGATGGGCTCCTCACTACACTTCTGCCTGATCTGACATCTTGTTTATTCTCCCGTTTCCATTTTGAAGGCTGTACTTGAACCACAACTCTTCTAACCAACCACAGATCTTAAAAGAACTGTGAACTTTAAGTGATTCTGTTATTTCATAGATTGGTTGGACTAGTTCTATTCAATGAAAAATGGAACTTCTTTTAATTACTGTGTTTAGCCTAGGGACTTTTCCATCTTATTCCTAGAGCAAAGCTCTATGAATCCTGTTTTATAGGACTTTAAGTTACTTTAGATATTTCTCTCTGGTTGTTACTCAGTGAATGTCCTCAGTAGTATGTGTCCCCTTGTCTGGAATGTTCTTTGTACGTGCTATTGACTTGGTTCCGACTCATAGTGACCTTATGTCCAACGGAACAAAACAGGGCACAGTCCCGTGACATTGTCACAATCAATGCTTTGTTTGAACTAATTGCTGCAACTGCTATGTCAGTCCATCTCACTGAAGATCTTCGTCTTTTTTGCCGACCCTGTACTTTACCAACCATGATGTCCTTCTACAAGGACTGGGCCCTTCTGATAATATGTTCAAACCTGAACTCTCACATACCCATCTACCAAGACTAGACTGGTTTGGTCTTCTGGAAGTCCATGGTATGGTCAATATTCTTTGTCAATACCATTACTCAAAGGCACAAATTCTTCCTTATTCATCGTATAGCTTTCAGTGTTAGTAGTAGTATTTTTAAACTTCGGTGGTCTTTGTTCTATGACAATAAACAGTTGAGAATATGAATTTGGCAGTCTTTGATATATCGATAGTATTAAGAGACTGCCTGAGATCACCAAATTGTGAATGTATGTAAAAAGGACCAAGGACTGAAAACTAGTCCATTCCAACAGTAAAAGAATGGGAGACATGGAGGAACTTATAGGGGACACTGTGACCAGGGAGATAAAAGGAAAACTGAGAATGTTCTAGAAGGCAATTAAGAACTCTCAAACGAAAGAATGATCAATTTTGTCACATGCTGCCAATAGTATAAGTTTGACTTTGATGCTGGCAGCCACAAAACACAGTTTGAATTAGCCATTTCAAATTCAACAAAACAATAATTGTTTTAGCAAGTTTCCTAAACTTAAAAAAAAAAAAAATTAAAGCGACATTTGTAGGTTTTTTTATTATTCTTACACACCCAATTCCCTCTTGTTCATTTTTTAAGGAATTGTTATTTACTTAGGATGCATTTTCTGTGAATTTATTTCATTGTCTTAAAAAAAAAAAGGCAAATATGGCCATTTTTGTGTGTTGGTTGTGACTTGAAATTGCAAGTCAAGAGCAAAGTTATCACTGATCTATGAGATTTTCATAGTACTAAGATTTCTAGTAAGGAGTACAGACAGCATTGTCATAGAAGGGACATAGGGCTACTCACAAAATTACTAAGTTGTGAAATAGCCAAATGGAAATTCTGTATTTTAGTTTCTAGTTATAATAAAACAGGTGCTTTTGACAGTTGTACTGGTGGTTTAGACACTTTGATATAAGTTGTTGTTGTTATATGCCATGGAGTCGGTTCCGACTCATAGTGACCCTGTACAGGGTTTCCGAGGCTGTAAATCTTTACAGGAGCAGAAAGCCTTCTCTTTCTCCCATGGAACAGCTGGTAGTTTCGAACTGCTGACCTTGTGGTTCACAGCCTGATTCGTAACCACTACGCTACCAGAGTTAGGATATTATAATGCATTTATTGCTTTCTATTGTTGTAAATAAGGAGCTCTGGTAGCGTAGTGGTTATGATTTGGGCTGCAAACCTTACAGTCAGCAGTTTGAAACTACCAGCTACTCTATAGGAGAAAGATGAGTCTTTCTGCCCCCGTAAAGATTTACAGCCTCGGAAACCCTGTACAGGGTCGCTATGGGTTGGAACCGACTCAACAGCACTTAACAACAACAACAACATGGCTTAAGGAGTCCTGGTGTGATGCTGTGGGTTATAGTACTGGACCATAAAGTTGGTTTGAACCACAAGGTCGGTGGTTCGACCTCACCAGCTGCTCCTTGGAAACCTTATACAGGGTTGCTATGGGTTGGAATCAACTCGACGGCATTTACAAACAACAACAACATTGTTGTTTAAGAAGTCCTGGTGTGGCGCTGTGGGCTAATGTGTCAGACTGCAAAGTTGTCTGAAATGAAAGGTCGGTGGTTCGACCTCACCAGCTGCTCCTTGGAAACCTTATACAGGGTTGCTATGGGTTGGAATCAACTCGACGGCATTTACAAACAACAACAACATTGTTGTTAAGTGCCCTTGAGTCAGATCTGCGTTCCGAGCTGGTGAGTCTGAACCATTAACCTTGTGGCTCAAACCAACTTTATGGTCTAGTGCTTATCCTATAGCACCACACCATAACTCCAAAACAAAGAAACCTGTAACTGGCTGTGACCAGTTAGTTGTAAATCCCACTGCAGTTTAGATCGTTTCTCCGCAGACATAATAGCTTGGGTTTCCTCCATCTCTTGTTTTTTTTCACCCAATTAAGGTTGTGTTTTTCCACATGAAATGTTTCTCCCCCATCTACACCTGCCTTCAGAGACTCTGAATCACAGATTTAAAGTATCCTTTCCAAATAAGCAAGAATGACATTCTGTTAATAGGATGAACAGCTGGTCATGTAGAAATTCTCTGGAATGCTCACTTGTCCTACAAAGGCAGATAAACAGATGTTTCGTGTAGTATTTGTAACAGATTAGTCATTTAAAATGTAATTTTATTAGAAATCTTTAAATAATTTCAGTAATTGCTTTTCTACTGAAAAAAAAGTGCTCATCCCTAAACTTCAACATTTTACCAAATGCAATTTAATGGGACTAAAGATTGCACTGGGATTTCCCATTTGCTAAAGCATTCTTCCTTAGAGTAACAGTCAACCCTTCCAAGTTTAAAAGTTACCCTTTGTTCTCCATTACCTTCGGGATTTAGTTCTTTCTTAGCAAGACACACAAGCCCTAAACCCTTTGGAATTTGACTCTTGTCAACCTCTCCAAGCTCATCTCTCACTTCTTGCCCTCTTCTTTGTTCCAGTCATACAGAGCTAAGCTTTCACTTCCTCCTCGTGTACAAGCGGCAAGCTGCCTTTCCTCCTAACTTGCCCAACTCTGAGGTGTCCATTCCTGGAGTATTTCTTGTGATTCGTATTTCTTTCTAGTTGGTGTTTACTTAATGGATGAATTTCTTCAAGAGACTTGGTCTCTCGGTTTATGCTCTCTATTCTGCCTTAGGCCCTGGTGTGGCGCTGCAGGATAAGCACAAACCCAGCAACCACGCTCTAAAACCCTATACAGGGTCGTCCAGAGTCAGAGCTGACTTCACGGCGCACACCACCACCACCTCCTTGGAAGCGACTTCTGCAGAAATTCTGTAGAAGGGAACTAGGGCCAAATATGGCATCAGATTCCAAAATAGAGCCCTGACCCTTTACGTTGTTGCAAAGAGTGGGAGATGCAGCGTCAAAGGGTGGGAGATGCGGAGGCAGTGACCTGGCTTTTGGAGGACTCAACTGTCTTGAAGGGGACGTTTCTCAGCACAGGGCTTTCCCTTGCTTTGTAAATTAGTAAATAGTTAAATTGAGAGGGGTGGAAGGATGCACGGCTGGGTCAAGGACGTAACTGGCGAGTTAAGTCTGGATTGGTGCTTGCGCTCCCTTGTCGAGAAAAGGCAAGACGCCCACTAAAGTACTGTGGGTACAGCTTTCTCTACTTCCAATCAGAACCGGCAGTAGCACTAGTGCGTTGATGTAACAATAGCCCATTCCGTCCCAAGAAGAGCTACTTAATAACCGTGAGCGAATGTACGTGTAAAGACACCATGTCCTTTTGGCCTTTGTGCTCTATGTTTATGTAGGCGTCCCGTGGAGGGAGGCACACTTCCGCGGGACTCCGCTGCTCTCTTATTCCCAGCACCGGCTCGTCGGGGCCGCTACACTGCCTCGGCGAAATGTGGGAGTCCGGTAACTACCTGCCTTCACAGCCCTAGTCTCACTTTTTGAGACTGTTAGCAGACAGACCCCGAAAGACGGTGGCAATGGTCCATCAGCGCCCTCTGGGTGTCGGGATTCGTCGTCAGGCAGCTGGCGGCAGCCCAGGACGGCAAACAGTTTCTGGAGCTTGGGTCCCAGCAGCCCTCCGGAGGAAGGATCACGGAAGCGAGTGGGCGGCGGGAGGCGGAGCGAGGGACGTGGGGGCGTGGACACAGCGGGCTTTGGAAAGGCCCCAAGTTAATGAGGCGTGCGCCGGCAGCCGAGCACCTCTCAGAACTGGGCTTCCCCCCGCGCTGCGGGCGCCAGGAGCCGCCTTTTCCGCTGGGTGTCACTCGGGGGTGGAGGAGATGGCCCATTCAAAAGCACCGCGAGGGGGCCCGGCCTGTGCCCTTCAGTGAACGCTCGCAAGAGGACGGCAGAGGCCCGGCGGCTCGCAGCTCTGGGACCTTGTGGCGCATCAGGACGCGGCTGCCAGTCTGTCCGGACTTGGAGCCGCCGCCGTTTTGCCTCCTGCGTGTCAGCTTCTTCTGCGCGCTCCGGGCGGGCGGCCGCGGCAGCCGCTGGGGTGAAGACGGCGCGCGATTACTTCTGCTGCCCCCAGCCCGGGCTACTGGAAGCGGAGAGGCCGGGCCGAGCTGTGGCCCCCCTTATGCCAGTAGGATGCTGGAGAGCAGCGGCTGCAAGGCGGTGAAGGAGGGTGTGTTAGAGAAGCGCAGCGACGGGTTGCTGCAGCTCTGGAAGAAAAAGTGCTGCATCCTCACTGAGGAGGGACTGCTGCTCATCCCGCCCAAGCAGCTGCAACATCAACCACAACCTGGACAAGGGCCGGGGCTAGCCGAGCCGTCCCAACCCGGAGGTCCTGCTGTCGCCGGCCTCGAGCCGCCGGTTAAGCTCAAGGAATTGCACTTTTCCAACATGAAGACAGTGGACTGCGTGGAGCGCAAGGGGAAGTACATGTACTTCACTGTAGTGATGGCCGAGGGCAAGGAAATCGACTTTCGGTGCCCGCAGGACCAGGGCTGGAACGCCGAAATCACGCTGCAGATGGTGCAGTACAAGAACCGCCAGGCCATCCTGGCGGTCAAGTCCACCCGGCAGAAGCAGCAGCACCTGGTTCAACAGCAGACCCGGCCGCCGCAGCC